CCCCAAAACCCCAAAACCCCAAAACCCCAAAACCCCTTCACTTTGGTTTTGAGTTGAAAAATTACAAGATATTAATTAAGATTTCTTAATAAAATTTAATCAAATGGAGTCTCTTAACTTCGACAAATATCCATTCCTTGCTGAACTTGGATTTGAAAAAGAGAGCTATGGTTGCTACACCAACGGTGAGTGGAAATCGGGGGAGGAAACTGTCAACAGCGTCAATCCTCATGACAACTCAATTACTGCTACAGTCAAGCTAGCAACTCCTGAGAACTATGAAGAGTGTATTAAGAGTATGGAAGCAGAGAAGGCAGCCTGGATGATGCTCCCAGCTCCGGCAAGAGGGGAGATAGTGAGGCAGGTTGGGGAGAGAATGAGGGAGAAGAAAGATGCACTAGGGTCTTTGGTGGCGTTGGAGATGGGGAAGGTCAAGAATGAAGGTGACGATGAAGTACAAGAAGTCATTGATACCTGAGACTTTGCTTGTGGTCTATCTAGAGCATTGGAAGGTAAGGTACTTCCTTCAGAAAGACCAGGACATATGATGCTTGAGTGCTGGAACCCACTGGGTATTGTAGGCGTCATTACTGCATTTAACTTTCCAACTGCTGTCTTCGGATGAAATGCTTGCATTGCACTTATCTGTGGAAATCTTATTCTCTGGAAGGGATCTGATACAACTCCATTAGTATCTATTGCTACTGCTAAGATTTTTGCTGACGTCTTAAAGGAAAACGGATTCAATTCTGTTGTCAGTCTTTGTCAAGGAAACGGAATAGAAATTGGAGAGCTTATGACCAATGACAAGAGAGTTCCTCTAGTTTCGTTCACAGGATCTACTCGTGTTGGAAGAATCGTAGGAAATACTGTTAGCAAAAGATTTGGAAAGACAATCCTTGAATGAGGAGGAAACAATGCAGTTATTATCCTTGATGATGCTAATATTGAAGCTGCTCTTGAAGAATGCGTTTCCTCAGCAGTTGACACTACTGGTCAAGTATGAACATCTTGTAGAAGACTCTATCTTCAGGAAAATATCTATGATGATTTCATTGAAAAGCTGGTGAATTCATACTCAGATATCAAAATCGGAGACCCTTTTAATGATGAAACTGATATTGGACCTCTCCATAATAAAGCTGGGGTAGAAATCTACAAGAACGCCATCGAAGAAATCAAGAACCAATGTGGAAAGATATTGACTGGAGGTAATGTTATTGAAGGTGATGGAAACTATGTTGAGCCAACCATAGTTGAGATTGACAAGGATTCAGAGATTGTACAGACCGAGACCTTTGCTCCAATCCTTTACGTGTTTAAGATTAAGGATGTTGATGAAGCTATTAAGTTCAACAATGATGTTCCACAAGGACTTAGCTCATCTCTGTTTACAAATGATCTCAAGAACTACTTTAAGTGGATTGGCCCACTCGGATCTGACTGTGGTGTAGTTAATTGCAATGTCGGATCTAATGATGCAGAAATCGGTGGAGCATTCGGAGGAGAGAAAGAGACAGGTGGTGGCAGAGTATCCGGATCAGATGCTTGGAAGCAATACATGAGAAGAAGCACCTGTACTGTCAACTTCTCTACAAGCTTGCCATTAGCACAAGGAATCAAATTTGATGTCTAAATGATTTGCTCCTTAACTTAATGTTGTCTAAAAGGGGTTTTGGGGTTTTGGGGTTTTGGGGTTTTGGGG